GATTTGTTACCATGAAATCATCACATTTTTTGAAGTGAAATAAGTATGATATATTTATGCAGCAAATATTGCATGAGCGTGCATTTCCTGACTAACAACAGCCCACCAACTTATGTTGTAAAGGCATGTTTCACATAGTATTCATATATTTTCTATATTTTTTTATGTTATGCCTTATATTCTATGCATTATCGAATTAATTCTAAATGTTATAGAATGTTAACAAATTGAACTTTTTGACTTTCTGAGTTTGACTTTCCTAATTAACCTTGGACTGCATTACTTGCTCTGGTTTTGTTTTCCATCTGTTTAACTTTACCATTCACAAGACTGGTGAAAACGTCTCAGGTTACTTATGTAACCATGGTTCCCTGAGTAGGGAACGAGACACTGCATCCTCTAGGGGTCGCTATGGGGGGGGACGCCTCGTTGTGACCCGTGTCTGAAGCATACATTGAAAAAACACCAACTCGTTGGCCGGCGACAGCCATGACGTCACTACCGGTGCGACTATAGTATAAATAGGCGCCGGGAGCACACATCATTCACTTCTTCGTCTGAAGCTTGCGTCCGCAGCATGGCAAGAAACCTAGAGGACGCAGTGTCTCATTCCCTACTCAGGGAACCATGGTTACATAAGTAACCTGAGACGTTCCCTTTCATGGGAACTTCGAACTGCGTCCTCTAGGGGTCGCTATGGGGAACGATATACCCACACCACCATGCTGAGGGGAGTGCATGCCAGAACCATGGCGAGCACTAAGTACCAACTCTACCATATTGTTATGAGAGTTGCCCCATGGACGTTAGACGGCTGTCAGTGACGTTATTCCCTACGGCCAAAGGCCTAGGCTACATACCCCAAATACTTACCTGTTAGGGCCAGACTCCTGGGCCCGGGGTAGAGCTCAAGGCTTGGAATCACGAATAGATTCCTTTTAAGGGAATACCACGATGAGGCGTCCCCCCCCATAGCGACCCATAGAGGATGCAGTTCGAAGTTCCCATGAAAGGGAATTTATTATTTTTAGTGTTTATGTATACTGGACAAAAAAGAAAAATGAAACTATTACGTTTTTCTTTATAAAGACAACAGAGCTTTTGTGAAAAAACAAACAAACAAACTGGTGTGAAACAGGTGAGGCTGAGGGTACCTTTGGTAACAAAAGATCTATAAAGAAATTAATCCAAAACAAATATTTGTGAGAACTACAGTTTATTTAACCTATTTATGATGCAACTTGCAACATGGACGGACATGCACCATTTCTAAGGTTAAATTGAAGTATTTCAACTTGTTGATTCAGTGCCGCTTTCATCTCACCAGAAAGCCCAGGAGAAATGACTTAAATGAACTAGTATTTCATGTCTTTTCACATGAGACCTCACATTGATTTAACTGCTTGTTAGTTCAGCATTGTCTCCTTGCATTCCCCTTGTAAAGCCTCCAGAGCCTCCACACAAAAGCCTCACATAACTTTACCTCTCCCGCTTCTTTGAGAGAGGTCTGAAAATCATTGGATTATGGAGCAGGAGCTTCCAAAGAGATCCGAGACCAGGTCACACAGTCACGCGCAAATAACCACAAAGATCATGCACATCTGTTGTCAACCCAGATATCATGAAGGTATAAAATAAATGCATTAATTATTAAGAAACTATGGGAACATTCTCAGAACTTCGGCTAGCATTCTGGAAAGGTTCTCTTAAAGTTATAAACAAACATAGCTTCTAGTTACAGTACGTTAACAGAATGTTTGTTCAGAGTTATCAAGTCTGTAATAAAAATTTCAAAACAGTAGCACAGAAACATTATTTATACATCTTTCATGGAACGTTTCTCTGAAACATTTTAGTTAGATGTTCATCTAACCTTTTTTTTATGTTACTATTTACTGGTTTCAGAGAACATTCAAAAGTAACGTTCCATTAATGTTGTGTTCTCTCTTACATTCGCATAACAAAGTTTTTTTTTTATATAAAAAAAAAAACTGGACGTTTTGAACGTTCAGAGACCATTTATAAATAAAGTTTTCATAACTTCCTGAGAATGTTATCTGGTATTTTTGTAAGCTGGGGAATCTGTTCTTTCTGGCAGAAACATGTTAAAAAAACCACACACCTGATCTTGTTAGGGACTGTTTGTTAAGTTTTGGGTCTTTCAGCACTTTTATTATGAAGAAGCCTGCCGATGATACACATATGCGTTCATTGCCAAACAAATGCTCTGTTAGAGGAAAAACAGCTGTCTTTTTAATTGCTGGCCACAGAAGAAGGTTTGAATCTATAGAAAGCCATATGAGGTCATTGAGATGTGGAACTGCTCTGATCTGGCCCTCATTCCTGTCCAATGGGGCCCTGGAAATGTTCCCTTCAATAAAGTCCTGCTCCGTGTCTGCTTGATTTGTGCTGCAAATGCATTCTGCCTCTGAGATATTTGTCCAAATCCACAACAATAGGAGAGGCTCAAGAGACAGAATGTATTTGAGTGCGGTGTGTTCAGAAGAAGTACTGTGCAATAGTTTGAGTTACTGACCGCTTTGGGAATATTTCTAAACCATCATGCACATACCCGTTTAAATCAAAAATACTACTGCTATGCAATACTTAATATGTCCTATCCGTTCTATTTCTTCCACTTTTGAGAATATAACAAGACATTTTATCAGTCATTCAAAATGGAAGCCTATTTAGATTGCAAATATTTTTTATGGAACCGGAGAGACCAGGGAGAGTTCTAGCACTTATTGTTTCAATGTCTGCACATCAGGGTTTATTTTCCTTATAATATGACGTGTCATATTATAATATTCCCATATTTGTCTGTTACAAATTAAAGCAGTTTAAAAATATACATTTTGCACTAAAACATGTTATTTGTAAATTATAGTGTTAAGCACAAAGAGTGCTGTTTTTAATACCCTATTACATCAGTGAAAAAACATTTTAATATTGTAAATGTCGTGCATGAATTTATTGGGGTAATAAATTACATTTACCACTTTGTACTACTTTCATTTTCCAAGAGCCGTTTGTTTTCCTAGTAAGTGGACCTACAAGAAAACGAGGGAAATTATCTAAAAATCACAAACTATTTTTGAGTCAAAAAATATGAACAAAATAACTTATAAAAATCATAAGACTTGCCAGTGCCCATAGGAAAGAGGATCTTTAGTATGAAGGCTGATATTGCCAAATTAAATTATATCAATAAAGAATTTATATTTTATGTAAAACAACAACACGGAAGAGAAGAAATTGTTGATTAAAGTCGTTATTTTTGTTTTCTTTGTGCACAAAACATATTCTTTCGGTTGAACAACTGATGTCTCAAGGACTATTTTAACGGTGTCCTTACTACCTTTCTGGGCTTTGAACATTTCAGTTGTGTTGCTGTCTATCAGAGATGGAAACTCGAGTCTGCGACTTGGATTCGAGTTGCACTTAAAGTTGCATAAGGGACTTGACTTGGACTCGTGAACAGCTGACTCGAGACTTGACTTGGACTCGTGAACAGCTGACTCGAGACTTGACTTGGACTCGTGAACAGCTGACTCGAGACTTGACTTGGACTCGTGAACAGCTGACTCGAGACTTGACTTGGACTCGTGAACAGCTGACTCGAGACTTGACTTGGACTCGTGAACAGCTGACTCGAGACTTGACTTGGACTCGTGAACAGCTGACTCGAGACTTGACTTGGACTCGTGAACAGCTGACTCGAGACTTGACTTGGACTCGTGAACAGCTGACTCGAGACTTGACTTGGACTTTGCTGTTCAAGCGCCACCTGCTGGCAGAGAGTGAATCTGCATTCGAATTCAGCCTGTCTGATGTTTTGTTTCGTGCAGATGTTTATGTAGAATATTTTCACAAAACTAAAGTCAGAACATTTTGTTTTAAATTTCGAAATTATACAATCCAATGTAGATTCAAAACTGCTCATGCTGCATGTATGCAGCCTCTTTTTTAGGATTGTGTTGGGTTTAAAATACTGTGGTTGCCCATAAAAAGAGCACAAACAAAGCCTTAGTATGTTTATATGAGATTAATTTAATTTGTGTTATTCATTTGATTGATTGGGGTTTGTTTTAAAATTTCAATTTAGTTTTGTTGTTTGACATATTTCAATTTTACAAAGAAATGTGCAGCATTTTGTCTGACAATTAATAAATGGACACCTTTTAATTTCTAATTTGTCTTAAATTTGAAGTAAAAAAGTATTTTTTGAGAAAATCATATAGTGAAATCAGTATTTCAAAACCAATTTAGCCTCAATAACTAGCTGAAAGAACTGTTGCTAATAAATAGAACAAAGACTTGAGACGTGACTTGGACTCCACCTCAAAGACTTAAGATTTGACTTGTACTCCACTTTAAAGACTTGAGACTTGACTTAGACTCGACCTTAAAGACTTGAGACTTGACTTGGACCTCAGAGACTTGTGAACATGTCTGCTGTCTATGCAGGGTCAGAAAACGGTTGGATTTCCCATCCAACTATCCCTTTAATGTTATTTTATAATTTGATAATTTGCTGTGACTTGTTTTGTCCAACTCAGGAATCAGTGGAATACAAATCAGAAAATCATTTGCAAATAGCTGGAGGTAAAGGCATTTCACAATTTACACACAAGGAAACACAATGTGCATTTGTGTGAATGTCAAGCAGGCATCTTATTAGTCCAACAAACTAAAACGACTGGCAAGAAGTGCAGTCACACCCAAGGCAGGTTAATGTAAATATGAAAGCAAATATTGACACAGATCACCCGGTCTGAACAGTGTCACTATAGCACAAACTGTGACAAAGAGCTTCTTCTATATCTGTTCTTTGTGTCACAGTGGAGATGAATGTATAAGAACACCTCGCTTTACTGGCTCCTCCCCTCATCTAACAACACATGAGACCTGAGAAAAGGAGAGAAGGGAGGGAGCGAGGGAAGAGAGAGGGTGAGTGAATGTAAGAGATATGCTGTTTATACTGAGCCCGGCTCAAATTCAACGCCATCAGTGCACCGGTGCTCACATAATGTGGGAAATTAATGCTCAGACACGCAGAGTCTCAGGAACGGCGGGACATTTCTTGGAATAAATTGCATGCCTCTATCCAGTGGATGCGTGAAGAAAAGAAGCTCTGAATTCTGTGAACATGAACTTAGGTGAAAGCTTCAAAAGTACAGCTTTACAAGTTCACATGGGGTGGTGAAATACCTCAACGCTCTTCATCAGCACAGCAGCTCTTCTGTCAACTAACCATCACAGAGCACAACTGCAGCTTTGAAGAACTGAATGTGGCTCCTCACAAAACACATGGATTATCGTTGCTGATTCAAGAAAACAGAGTAAGTTTTTCTTTTTTTTTTTTTGAATAAAACGCATCTTCACTGCAAAAATTCATTTTCTTGTTAAATTTGTTTTGCAAATTAAAATAAACATTTATGCAAACTTGACTAGCAAAATTTTGACTTGTTTTCAGATCATATATCTGTTATTTATATTGAATACCTTTACCCCGCTGGCATTTTTTTCTCCCAATTAAGCATACATATAACAAAATCAAGGTTTACAGTTGTTCAATAAATTAATAATTAATAAAAACTTTAAAAGAAATCTTGTTGTAAGGGTGTATGTTTGAGATATGAAAAATGTATCTAATATTAAAGTGCAATTTTAAAAGTGCCAAGAGACCATTTTCAAAGTTATTTAATGTTAGAATAAGAAAGAAATTCAGCGTTAGTAATTCAAATCCATTAGAATGGGATACATGCCACACTGACAGGTCTGTAGTTTTCCTGTGCTGGACTGTTATTTGATTTTTTTTTCTCTCCAGAACTCAAAGGGAACAAGAAAAGTCACATTGAACTCTATTGAATTGTTAATAACTTGTGTTATAATACAGAATTTTTGTTCTATTTGATTCATGAGTTTTAGTGTAATAGAATAAAAGACAAGCTACTACTATAGTGATAAGCATGTACTGACGGAGCTGAGTTGAGCATGAAAGCTGAACTGAATAATTGTCGTCCGTTTTGTCGAAAATACGGGTTGTTGCCATGAAATACCTGTGGGAATTTGATGTATTGCAATATGACATGTTATACTAAACAAAAAAAAACAAAAAAAAATTATATATATATATATATATATATATTTCAGTACTTATTTTACATATTTTATAAATATTTGCTGTTTTAATGACACATTAAAGGGGTCATATGATGTTGTTAAAAAGAACATTATTTTGTGTATTTGGTGTAATGAAATGTGTTTATGCGGTTTAAGGTTAAAAAAACACATTATTTTCCACAT